CTTCAAAATTACCTGCACAATAGGTCCTCCTTTGATAAAACACTATAGGATCTTAGGGTTAGCATCAATTTAATGCCTCTCTCTATTCAAGAAATTGGGTCTTGGGAAGGCTAAGTCAACAAAAGCCACTTTGCAGCTTGCAGATAGATATCTCACATACCCACGAGGGATCATTGAAGTTGTGTTAGTTAAAATTGATAAATTCATCTTTTTAACTAACTTCGTGGTGTTGGACATGGAGGAAGATCAAGAAATACCATTAATTCTTGGTCGACCATTTTTGGCAGCTGGTAGAACACTGGTTGATGTACAGGTATGACAACTAACATTTTGGGTTAATGAAGAAGAAATTGAATTCATTATATACCAAGCTAAGAAATTTTGTAAAGACACCGATACTTGTTACGGGGTCGAAGCAATTGATGAAGCGATGAGAGAAAAATATAAAAAAGAATTGTTCGATGACCCTTTAGAGCAATATATTGTAACTAGTACCTCAAGAATTGATATAGCTTCTAATGGAAGTTACACATGGAGCATGGAAGTGGTTGATTCAATCTTAGCTCTTGAAACTTTTCTACTCAAAGGTAATGAGAACTAGAAAGAAAATCTTTTGTTGCCTCTTAGCTCTGTTAAGTTCCAAGAGATTTTAAGTGCTAAATGTCTTGTGCAAAAGATGACATGAAGGTGAAAGCTTATTCCGAGACAACAAGTACTTCTCCAGAATTTCAATTGGAAGTTATTCCCCGCGTAAGCTTAAATCAAGAAGGTTAGGCTCTCTCATTGACAAGGTATTTTCCCAGGAACAATGGAGCTAATAAGCAAAGATGGATTAATTTTTCGAGTCAACGGCTAAAGCATTACTATGGAAATGACGAGCGGAATGTGGAAAACGTGCCTCTTAGAGACCCAATCTAAGGCAGTCCAGCAACTCAAGTTAATGATGTTAAAGAAATGCTTCTTCGAGTGCAACATGCTCATTTCCTCTCTTTAATTGTAGAGATATTAGTTTGTGTTTTTCCTTTTGTTTCTTAATATTTTTGATAATTTTATAGGTCAATGCTCAAATTTGGAGGCAAAAATAGAATTAACACCCATCACATCCATCAATCCACCACCGTCCCATTATGACTCCAGCGACAATAAAGTTAACTAAGGTCTTCACTCAGGGAAGTCCTTCACCCTTGTCTTAATTTTGACATTGGGAATAGTGTTTAAATTAAAGTTGGGGGTAAATTGCCTAACTGTTTTATGTGATCGTCGATATTTTTTATTTTTGTTTGATTGTCATTTCTTTTATTATCGAGTCCGTGTGAATTCTATTTTCTTATTAAAAAAATAATAAATTTTTTGCATTGCTTTTGTAAGCTGGATATCCTTGTTGACTACGATGATATACTTGAAAAATAGGTGTTATTTTAAGAATTGTGATAGAGTTAGGTTGAATTAATGGACTTAGATACTCAATCCCTTAAACTATTATATATTACATCCTTGAACAACTTATATTATAATTTGGATGTGGTCAAGCTAGTCAAAGAAATGATCTAGACTTGTGTTGTGTATAGCATGTTAAAATTATATTTGTGTGGAATGTCTTCTACTATCAAGTATAAATTAGGTGATAATCGTATGCTAGGGATCTAAGCCCCATTTATTTTTGCCTTGATAAAAGGAAAAAAAGAGCATTGCACTTGTTAATCATATGCCTCACTCTGTAGCCTTCTTGACTTAAGTCAGTAAGTTCACTGGGGATATCTCAGAATCGGTACCCTTTGGCCTTTTATGTTGGAGAGTTATCGACTAAAAACTCATTACAGTGGGTCAAGAAGAAAGATTAAATGGGTGAGGTCGATCTTGAGCTATAATTGAAAAAGAGCAAGTAATTTTGCAATTAAGATCGAATTATGGGGGCTTAAATAACTAATGGGTTTGAATTGCTTAGTATAAGCTTGAATGTTGAAGCAATCAAAATTTGGTAGAATTATCACATGCATAGATTGTTGACAGTCTCAATTACGCTTAACCAAATTGAAGCGGTGAACGGAATTAGTAAATTGAAAATCGACCTTAGAATACATACTGGGAAAATAATAAAAGAAAATAAGTTTGGGTGTGTAAATCTCACGGGTGAAGAAATTATATATTTGACCATTGGGGGTTTATAAATTGAACCAGCTCATGAAAGTACAGCTTCGCACTTGATTCTTCACACACACCCGCTTTGCATTAGATAAGTGAAAATTTGGGTTTTGCATTATAACTTTGAAGCAGTTCATAAATTTGATACAAAATTTTTAATCCCGAGCTAAAAGGGCAAACGATCTGACTAAAACTTGTTACATGTGAATGATGTGTTTTAGTTTGTTTGTGTATTTCTTTTATTTGTTTTCTTTTTCTTGTCTTTTTTCTTTTGTGTTTGCTTGAGGACTAGAAAAGTATTAAGTTTGGGGTGTTTGATGAGTGTATTTCACTCATGATAATAATACAATTTAAACTTGACATTTCATTTTATTCTAAGAGTTTTAGAACCTTTTTATGTGTGTTTTCTTGTCATATTATAGGATAGGTGAATTGGTGAAAAAGTAGTTTGAAACAACCAAATCATATGAACCAAGAAAAAGAGGAATTGAAAACATGCAAATCATGCAAAGAAAGAGGTGAAGTTGAAATAGAAAACGAAGAAAGCATTACAGCGGGAGTGCCTAGGTGCCACATCTGGGCGCCTAGGCTCCTCATTCAATTGGCAAAACAGAATTTCACCAAAGATGGAGCACCCAGGCACTACCCAGTAAAAAACATAACAGAATGCTAGAGTCTAGACACCAGACCAGTAGCGTCCAGCCGCTGGACAAAAATTTTACGCGGCACCTAGTTGCCACATTGTTACATCTAGGTGCTGCGAGCCGTTTCAGTTAGGGTTTCTATTTTTTTGTATCCGTTTAGAAGCCCAATTCAATCCCAGCCCGTCTAGCACTTCAAGAAAGCATAAATACAACTCTTGAGGGCACTTTTCAAACACAACCGATGAGGCGAATCAAGAGATGAAGACGATCATATTTTATCTCTTTTCGTCTTTATTTTTATGATTATGAACCCTAGATTTTTCTTAATATCCAATCATGAACAAGTTACTCATCTAGGGGATCGATGTAATTCAAACATGAAATGAAGTTTTGGTTTTTAATAATTAATTCTTTGAGTTTTTCTTTTAAAGTTTATTTGTGTTGTTTATTTTTAATGCTTTCAATTAACTGGCTATTGAATGATTGATTTGATGTTTAAGTTCGACACTTGAGAGAGGCAACCTTAGACGTGATCATAGAATATCACAAATTAGGTTTCATTTGTTTTGAGAGAAGGTAAACCTTTGTAGCGTTTTAACAAAGAACCATAGAACTTAATAATTCTTAGATTTTTTATTCAGACTAGAGCTATTGAAATCGAGATTTAGGAATAATTTTCACTCTACGCTCTGAGAGAGGTAATAGAAATATTAGGGTTCTTGCTTAGAAACTTGAAAAACCAATTGAAGATAAATAGAGAATTAAGAGACATGGATAATAGTTGGATGAAACCAAAACCCTAAGCTTTTCTCATATTGCATCAATCCTTATGAAGCGTCACTAAATTGTAGATTTAGTCACAATTTCACCTTAGACTTAGTTGAGTAACATTGATCTTATCAATTCGATTGTCTGGGTAAAAGAAAGGCTATTTTCATTATAGTACTTAGTATAAATTTGATTTTCAATCCCTTTTGAGTTCAACATCCTAACTATACTGTTATATTAAAAAAGTGGGCGCTGTGCACTTGCTTTATAATTTGCACCTAACATATCTCAACCCTTCCACATGATTTACTTCTTCAAACTAATTTGTAGTTTGGAACTCTTCGTGCTTTGTCCATTCAACATATTTTTTTCTTGTTGAAGTGATAGGAAGAGGTGTTCATTAATAGTCCCATCTTATTAAGCCTCCATTTGATGCTCATTATTTCATTAAAATGAGTTTTATAATAGTAAATTATTGAAGAATGCGTGATTACAAAATAGAACAAAATTTTTTATTTATGTGCAAAATATTTTATTTTCAGAATGTGTGATTGAAAATGAGTTTTAAAATAATGGCAATCAAATAGGGACTAGGTTTCACTTGAGAAAATAAGTAAGAACTACTACAACTAAATTTGATATATTTGTGTATACCCCTTGATGAACTGTAAACCAAACAATGTAGTATAATGAGTGAACATCGACATCTGATTCATTGTATTATTTTCAGAACTATGAATGCAAAAGAGAGGAGAGACTGATACATAAGCAGTTGAATGAATGGATGTTTCAGATAAAGTTCTTATTGCTACTTTCTATTGTATCAGAAAAGTGAACTGATAACATAAGCACATACAGAAATAATCCAGTTTTCAGTTGTTTTCTGGGGAAAACATCCATTGGCTCTGGAAAAAGACTCATCCTTTCTGAAGAGGGGGTTGAGCTTAAGGTTTCCACACAAGAAATTGACAGTGGCACCGATCAACTTAACACTCTCCCAAGTCTTTTCTTCAAGTATATGGTTTTTTTCCTGTCTGTGTCTTCAGGTAGTAGATCATACTATCCATGACTTCGTCATGAATAAAGTGATATTTATGCTCGAATGAGTAGAGAATTTTTCTTCCTAGACCAACCTTTAATTGCTAAAAACCACGCAAGGATAGGAGGAAGACGATGCTGCTTCTGGTCTGTGGTTTGGTTTGTCAATAGCAAGTGAATTTTTCTGATGTGTTGTGTAACAATGTATTGATGCTCTTTTGTTTTTGGAACAAAAAGTTAACCATTGTTGAAAATTAGCAACACCACCAATATCATACTTTGAGTAGCTGATTATTGTCTCCTTCTATTTCTTCATGATCACACAAATTTCAACTTAAGAATATCGTGTTGGTTCTTTCTCCCAGGCATTATGCTTTCGGCCAACATGCTAGAAATACAAGAAATGGATGAAAGGAAAACTTCCAACAATTTGTCACATTGAGTCAAAAGTAGTTTCTTGCGTGCATAAAGTGCACGTCACCTTTCAACCAACGAGCTACTAGATGCTATCTCGACATCAGACACAGTAAAAAAAAGTACTAATGACCATCAAATAAGTTCCAACTGGTATAAGAGCTCAAACAACCGTTTAAATCAGAACATTATTCAGTTATTTATTTGAACAAAGTCAGCAAAAAATTCAACTACCCTTTACTTTCAAAGGCCCAATTATATCTCCAACAAAGTTAGTTAATTGTAGAAATGCCATGTCAATGGTGTCAATAACCTGTTTCAGGATAAACCATCATACTCTGTAAACTCATAATGATCCCTTGATTACATTTCCGTGAAATCCACTTCCTGCAATGAAGTTTAAAACGATTGATTAACGAAGGAAATGTAACCAGTAAAACAAGCAATTCCCAGACCAGGAGAAACAAGGAGCCTCTTTAACATGGTTCACACCATCATCTCTCTCTAAAAAATAATGAATATTAATTAAAATTCTTCAAGCAGAAAGTTTTAGCTAGTGCTGAACCAGCATCGTGTATTTATTCTTCATGGTCAAATAGAAAAATAATTTAATATAACAAGAAGATAACAACTTACCGATTATCAAGACTTATAGACTTCAGGAAGCTGAAGACCCACACTAGCAGCAGATTTTCCTAGTATTCTTTTCATCTCATCAGATCTATCCACTGCAATGTTGTATGAAAACAGTAGATCCTGCATCATCACCATGATACAAAATCAAATTCTGAAATATTGTAGGTCACCATGACACTAATTACTAGTATCGCAATTCTGGAAAGTTTAAGAGCTATGCGTCAACATTTTGAGTTCAGTAAAAAGGTTAATCAAACTAGATGTTCCAAATTCGCATTTATACAAACAAAGATAATGATGAAACATTTGAAATCAAGTCAATTGATTCAAAAGTCAGTCCAACAGACAGAAAATAGTGGCCAATTCTAAGAAACATAACACTTGAGAATGAAATCCATACATATGTTTACATTAAGCCTTGAATATTGTAGGTTGATGGGGAAGTATTTTCCCACAAAATCAATAACAGGACACCGCTGTGCAAGTACCGAGTATACTAGCAATGGTGAGCACAAATTGAGGACATCCTTGGCAAGTAGAAACCAATAGTGGAGCTAGGATTTAGCCTGAGTGGAAGACCCTGTAC